ATATCGAAACATTATCGTAAAGGTATGGATTCGATGTAGAATCCTTATTGTTACGATATAACAAATGATATGGATTCTACATCGAATCCATATTGTAACGATAACGATACGATATCGAATCGTTATCGTAAAGGTATGGATTCTACATCGAATTCATATCATTTGTTATATCGTAACAATAAGGATTCTACATCGAATCCATACCTTTACGATAATGTTTCAATATCAAATCGTTATCATCACGACATTATTGATTCGATATCGCATCAACCTCGATTCGATATCATTAACCATATCGTAACCATATCGTAACCATATCATATCGACATTGAATCGATAATATCTTAACGATATTATTGCGATATCGAATCGATATCGTTAGAATTTTAAGGGTTTCTGTAAAGAGATTTTTTATCACGTGACAAAAGATCAACATTTCAAATTTGGCTGCTTAAAAAAGTTTTTGTTAAAACTAAGTTGTTTGTACTGTATATTACCTTTTTAAATGTCTTGCATTTCCCATTCACATTCTCTCTGACTCGCATTCATATTGGGAAAAGAGATAAGAGAAATATACAATAACTTTTATGCCAAAATAGTGTTCTAAATCGGTTACAATATCAGAAACTGGTTTTAAACTGGTTTACTTTTTGCAACCTGGTTTAGTATATGAAACTGATTTTTAATTATAAACTGGTTTCATATATTAAATTAGTTTTAAATTTAAAACCGGTTTCCATAAAAATTTTTTTTTATATCTAAAGTGATATTGTAAAATTATCACATTAATAATGACCATTAATGCTTACAATAAATTAAAATTTTTTTGTGAAAGATTCGATTATCATCGGCAACGATTTAAGATGCAATAAAAAATGTATGGCGCAGTAGTACAATCATTATGATGAACTTAATACCGATAATTTTTATTATTTTTATTGTAAATTATATAAGCCACTAAATAAATCAACTAACATTATACATAAAGTTTAAAAAGTTTATTGCTGTATTATTTATTTATTTATGTAACATTTATTTATGTAACAAAATCCTTTACATTGATATACTTTATTGATTGATATAATCACGTAAAAATGCAAAAATTTTCTACAAAAATTTCCATATAGCACGGCTCACTTTCAAGCTTCAAATTTATATTAAACATTTAAACTACTTATTGGGTAAAAAAATTGGAAATAATGCTATATTTCAGTTTAAAAATAAAAGCTCCTCAACTAATTCTGAACTTAAACAGTTGCAGCAGGTTGTAATATGCAATCCAGCATCTGAAAACAGTCTTTTACTTGATACTGAAGTCACGGTTATTGATAAATATTTACATGCAATTCAGCTCAACAAAGGAAATTTTTTTTAATTATCCCTCCACCAATCAAGAGGGTCACATCTTTATTTTGATACCTGTAAATTCAAATAAACATCAACTTTGTTAATATCATTAATGTTATTATCATTATCATCATCATCCAAAAGTGCAGCAATAATAGAATTTGATGATGAAGATGTTATATTCTGCTGGGGATTGCTGATAGAATTATTTAAAGGATTTAATTTACTTGCTAATTTCTCAGCAGAATAAAGTTCACGTAATTTTCTAATCGTTTAAGATTTGATAGTGTCATTATTAACAAATTTAAGACTTTTTAATTGTGGATCCAAAATTGCTACTATCATTTCTACTCATTTTGAAATATTCCAGTATTCTTTCATAGATAAATAAATAGAAGCTTTTATTTTTTTAAAAGATTTGTGGTATTAACTGGATTTTCAACAAGTCGTCGATTTCTAAATCAAGGATCTGCATTTACTCTTCTTCTGTTTTCTTCATTGCCAACCCCTATTCTTTCACGTTTTCTTCTGCGTTCTCTTCCTCGCCCTCTTTCTCTTACACCTCTTAATGGAGTCCTAACAAGTTTTAGTTCAATTATAGAATTTCATAGTAACTCATCTTCTGAATCTGTTTTATTTCCTTCATCATTAATTGCATCTTAATATCAATAAATAAATTTTAATTAATATTTTATTATAATATTTACATTTAATTCCAAAACATTAAAATTTAATCATTACCTCTATTAGCATCATGTTCAATTTCATTATTTAAATTAAAAGTTTCAGAATCTTTAGATTGTATAGTTCCATAAACTAAATCAAATAAATCATCATCTGATTCTTCGTTTATTAGCGTAAATTGATTTATTAAAAAATACATTGTTGGATACACAAAGCTGAGCGTAATATATTTGAACCAGATAAAAGTTGAGTAGCTTGTAAAAATGGTTTTAATATATCTACCAAATCTTATAATAAACTTAGTAATAATACATATTAGCTTAATAATTAAATTTTTAATCATTGTCGAAATACAGCAGAGGACTTTTACTTTTAGGCAATTTGAATGCATAATTATGCAATGTCCGTCTGTTTCATCGCGTAATTAGCCAATTGAAATTTGTATTTTTAGCTGATCTCATATATGATTATGCATTTAAATTACCTAAAAGTAAAGGTTCTTAGGGATGCTGAGTAGTGTGTAAAATCTATATGCACAATGTGCACATGTGCACATTAATTTTTTGTGTACACATATTACACAACATAAAATGTGCATAAATTATTACTAAAAATAGATAAATTATGTATAAAAAAGGTAAATTTACATAAGAAAATGTTATGATTTTCTTATTTTAGTAATAATTAATCAATTTGTGCACATAAATTTTAACTTAGATCTTATACACTAATGCTGAGAACCCATAACAGATTCCGTTTCCTAATTAATTAATAAATAATACATACGTCCTTTCTGAATCTGTAAATGCTATTAATTTCAAGTAATCTCTATTGTCTCTATCATTTTTTGTATAGTTCAAATGTAAGGTATTTTCCAACCATTTTATTGCAACCTTTAATTCTAATAGTCTTTTCCAAGCAAAATATGAACTATTCCACCTTATACGCACATCTTTAATTATTTCAAGTATTTTTGGATATTCTCAATCTTCTTGTGCATCTTTCAACCGTCTCATTTGCTTGAACTTAAAGCAAAAAAATGAATAAGATTGTTAACTCTTTTAATAAACTGTTTTAATAGCACTAAACGTTTTGTAACAAAAAGATGTAACGTATGTGCAGCACATCTTATACTTTCAATATTCATTAAAGAAATTGCTTTCTTGATATTTAGGCTATTATCTGTTGTTGCTGCAAAGTATTTATCTTTTAAATTCCAATTTTCAAGAATAAAATTTAAGCAATTTTTAATATTTTCAGATGTATGCGGATTGGGTAATAATTCAATACTAATTAATGCCTCGTTTAATTTCATATCCTGATTCAACTACAAAATTATTACACCAATATAACCATCATTTCAACGAGAGGTCTATAGATCTATTGTGAAACTAATGCTTTCCGCTTCAGATTTTAAGATTTCCCTTTGTCCATTCATAACTATTATTTATCAATTCTTTGTATTTTTCTTCAATTAAAATCCTAAATCCTGGTTCAAATTCATGAAGCATATTTCGAAATGCATTATTTCGAAGGATATTTAATAGTTGACAATTAAGAATAATAAATTAATAAGTGATTATTCTAAAAATAATTGACATTTTGAAGTAATATATTTCATTGCAGCTCTGATATCACCATCTGTTTTTACTGACTCTTCTGGATGATCTTTATCAATTCTATGATCCCGCCAAAGATGTTTTTGAGCAGTGGTAGTTAAAGCACCTTTTGACCACTTATAACGCTTAACAATATCTTTATTTTTGCATACTTGACAAACAAGATATAGTTGATTTTCATCTGCATCAAAGAATAAAATTAAATAAAGAAATAATATTTAAAATAATACATTGAATAGTCGATTTACATGTGTTAGTATAACTAATTTGTTATAAATCATGATATTACACATATATCTCGTGACTATATGCTGATTTATTAACGTAATGGATTTGTTTATAGAAAGGTTTCAGTTTGAATTTAAAAATCAGTTTGGATTTAGAAACTGATTTAATTTGAAAATCAGTTAAATATAAAAAACCAATTACCGGATTTTTGAAATTTTTTTTAAAACCAGTTACTTAATAAAACGGTCTGAAACCGGAAACTGAAAACCAGTTTTAGAGTACTATGTCAAAATTTTGTGTCTGAGAATAAGGGTATGTAAAAAGTGTATTGAAGATCTTGACATTTACAAAGGTATTAGGGTAATGCATATATAGATTTTTTCGTTTATCTGCTTAATATCATGACCTGGCAATGTTATAAAATGTATTTCAGTCAGAATATGTAAACCTCATATAGTAGAAATAACCTGTCTCTTTAAAGTAAATATACATATCAATTAATATGCTATTTTTCTAGAACATTGTAAGCGTTCATCTGCTTAATGCCATGACCTGACAATGTTATAAAATGTATTTCAGTCAGAATATGTAAATCTCATATAGTAAAAATAGCCTGTCTCTTCAAAGCAAATATACATATCAATTAATATGCTATTTTCCTAGAATATTGCAAGAGAAAAAAATTCAAAATATTTTGGAGATTGATTTCTTATGTGTGAAAATTAATTTGTCGTATAAATATTTACACAGAGTTACAGATGATTTGCAGAGTACAGTCAACCCTTGATATAACGAATTTTATGTCCTGAACTTCAACTTCGCTATAGAGCTATAGTGAATTTTTTAAAGAATTTGATTGGCTAGTTCGTTATAACGAGGGTAAATTTAATATAGTTGTCCAAAAAATTCGTTATATAAAAATTCGCTATAGAGAGGTATGACTGTATTACTATTACATTATATATACTTTAACGAGAATTAAAAACGTGTTAATTTATATCATACAGGCTAACATGCATTGGCGTGAGACGCTTCGCATGACTGGACAATATATTATTTTATTAAGATAATATTTGGGATCTGGATCAAGGACTGATCTGAAAAATTTAGCGCATGATCTTACAATTATTATTTAAATCTGTATAATTTACGGTAATATTGTTCCTGTAAATATGATATATGTATTTTAACAGCGAATCACATATAGGTTTACTACTGATGATTTACTCTTATATGTCTCATATTCTGAAATTCTGATAAAGTATGCATAATTATATTTTTATGAATACTATAATATCTGGGATTCTGTAGCTATTTTAACATGTCAAGCTAATATATACATCTAACAATTATATAGCCTTGCTGATATAATAATTTCTTAACAAGTATATATGTTGCAAAAAATAATCGTTGTCATAATTGGGCTTTCTTCTCATATGGGGCCTTTGCAATAGAAAGGGGGGAAACAGCCGGGAAAAATTAATTTTACTTTATATGCCAAATATGATTT